ATAGATTCTTTCTAAATCTCTGGGATATAGCCTAAGACAGATTGAATAAGTGATTCCCATTTAGATTTAGATTTTACGATTCTACACTTTGTTCTTTAATTTTGAAATTATCCAAAGTCATAGAATTCTCAAATAAGTCTAAACTTAATTTATAAATTACTTTAGAAAATAGGTGCCAGGCATTATATATATTTAGATGCATGTATTGAATCTATACATATAAATACATATGTATATATGTATAGATGCAATATATATACACATACATCTATACATATGTACACTGGTTGGGAGCCACTGGGTTAAGACAAAACAAAGTTGTGAGAAAAACACTTCAGTAAGGAACTATAAATAACCTAATGGGAAGGAAATCAATGATTCAATTAAAAAAATAGATTCATACACTCTTTATAAAAGTAGGCCCTGGGGGATTTTAGAAAATAAAATTACCTTGACTTGTTCAAGCTTTTCTTTTAGCTGTTGCTCATTTCCAGGTTCAAGTGGAATACTAGTAATGTTAGCTGCTTCTTCCAACCATAAAACAAATTCATTTAAATCTCTTTGAAATTCTGACAAGATATTCTTTTGTTCTTCTAGCCTGGAGAAAGAAGAATAAAATTGTTATAAACAACATGTTTCTCAAACATTTTTTAAAGCAAACTAGAAAAAGAAAACACTGCAAACAGTTACAAAAATAAGCAATTTAAAAGAGGTTAACAATACATAATTTATTTTAAGAAAAGTCATTCACTTTGAACAAAGCAATTTCAATATTTCAAAAATCTCTAAAAGATAAGAGTTTAAAATTGGTCAAGAAAAATTCTGATTTAAAAATTAAGCACTACTGACATTTAAGGTTGGTTAATTCTCTGCCATGAAGGGCTATCATGTATACTGTAGGATATTTAGCAGCACCCTTGGCCTATACACACTAGATGCCAGTAGCAACTCCCAACCCCCCAATTGTGACAACCAAAAATCTCTCCATGCATTGCCAAACACACTGGGAGGGGGTCAAAATTGCCCATGCTTGAGAACCATTGTGCTACAGTAAGTATAAAACATGGAGTCACATGTTTTAAAATGCTTAATTAAAGCATTTTTATAGAAAATTATGGGACAAAAGTAAAAACAAAGTATTTTTTTAAAAGTAGCAACTGTTTTATTTGCTCACAATTCTGTGGGTCAGGAATATGGATAGGGCTTAGTTGGACAGTTATGCTCTATGTGGCTTCTGCTTGGTTTAAAATAAAAACACTAAATTATTACATGTGTAAATCTTTTCCAAATTATGACTCACAATCTTTTTTGAGGAAAGAGAAAAATTGATTTAACAT